TCACCAAACACATTTTATCCTCTAGAGTCTTGGACTGTGTGTAACACATTTAATGACAAGCTCAGAAAGCTTTCAATGTATTTCCCTTCATTTGATTTTACAAATGCAAACCTTGTGTTGGTGCTGCAAAAATCAGCAATTCATAAGTCAGCATGCAAATATGAACTTCCATTAAAAGGTTTAAGACCACCCATTTAATAATTCAAGATATTTTTTCTCTGGACCAGTGTGGTGGACCGATCAGCTTACAGACCAACATAGCCATCCTTGGAGTGACAGCCTTTGAATGGTGAATAAGACAGATTTGTTAACTCTTAGCAAACACAGATGCTAAAGAAATATTGCAATAGCAGCAATCATTAATATGACTATCCAGTAAAGATTTGAGTTTTAGAACAACTCATTAAGACCTAATACGACTGCCCTGTAGTGGTTATAAATGATTGAGATATACTGAACTGTCCAGAAAAAATACTCCACTCTGTTTCTCACGAAGCCATCTAAATCAGTAAGCCTTTTAATTGATCTGATAAACATGGAAATATTATGCATCCTTCTCTGCTTCTATTCCATAAATAGTCCTTGGCTGAGATATTTTTAGGACAAAGCTATTTTTTTATGCATCCTTGATGTTGCAAAGCCTCCAACTCTCTGTAACGCTGTTACCATTCTGTCGTTCCCCGCCTCTAATCTGATTCTGCAGCAAAAATGTTATGGAGCAGTCAAGTTAAATGTTTGATGATGTGCTATTTATTGCAGATTTGCTTTTTAAATTTAACTTTTATTTATTCAGGGAATGATTGAGCAAAGCACATGTACTCAGCTCCGTTCTGCTGAACATTTAAATCAGACATAAGGTCAAATACTAATATCTATAGTTTTAGAGTTCATTTATTAGCAACAGATTTGTTAATATAGTATTTAAAATCAACCAAAACCAGACCAATAGAAAAATGTTGTATAATAAAAAAAAATAAGAAACACTAAGGAGGTAATGACAATATATTGTGTTATGTAGTTCAGTGTGACTTATTCACATTGCCTGTGGCAGCCAGCAAAGCTCTTATACAGCCATTGCATGCTAAGTGCTAGCACCACCACACAGCAGACAGTCAGGTAGCTTGTGGACAAGGAAGAGTATTCTGCAGTTAAAGTGCCAGATGCATGTGGGTGAGGACCAAAACAGAGCTAAAAGGAGACTACACATTGGACGTAAATATCATCTAGCTAGAAACACACCTCCAAATAAATGAATAATAAATAAATGCTAACTTATGTAAGCTTGCTCATTGTGTAAATGAGCAATCTGTTGTGAAAATGTTTGCAATAATGCAATAGCAAGCATGTCAGAAAGCATATGTCAGATATTAAGAAATGTATTAATGTCATATTGGGTAAGTAAATATTTAAATGTTTCACCACACGCAAATTTAATACAAAAACTTAATACCTAAATCAACTAGCTCTTATTTCTTCACCAACATTTAAGAGAAAACATCTGGGTGTTTGTCTATGATGAATGCTTTATTAAAGTTGCTAATTGGTCTTGGGCAGGAAGAACACAGGGAGATTTTTGTTAAAACAAGATTTAGATAAATTAAATACTGTACATTTGCATACAAAGCAATTGGCTAATAAAGGTTCAATAGATCTCTGATAATACTGATTCTATGTTCATTTCAAAAGTATTGATCACTCCAGCTCCAGCAACGTCTCTGAATGAGAACATTAGCCACTAGACTAGTATGGAGACTCCACTGATGGCCCTCCCTGTCAAACTCTTTCTAAAACCTTAAGGCTACTGCTGACCCCATTTATTCGGAAGCACAATGCCCTTATCTAGTCTCCCAATCAAATGCATTAGACTATCTGCTTCAATGCACCAAATATGGAATATATGCAGCAACAGACAATGGTTATCCCCTTGCCCTGAGCGACGCTACATCCACTATTCTTTCCAGGCTTGTTTTTCTACATCGAGGTCAGGTTACGCATATCTCCACAATAATACTTTTCAAATGTCTTCTACCCTTCAATAAGTCAATTGACTCCAAGGTATTGCAGCATGCTGAGGACACGATTGAGGTTGGATGTTGTAGGATGTCGTAGGTCACGCAGCGTTGACAGAGGTGAAAGCAGGAGACTAAAGACAGCCTTATTTATCAAACTGATTGCCATATTAGTGTAGCAGTTATGTGTGTGTGTCTATGTGGTAATTGTTTTTGCCATGAAGGATAGGGCCTAGTTGTTCACTTTTCTTTTTTCACAGTTTCACAGCTGTCACATGCCGCAGCTCTGTTTTTAGCCGCATCTCATGTAAACTCTTTCTGCTGTAGTTTTGTGACGAGCTAAGAAGCTACAGCACCATGATCAGTAAGAAACAGTCTGGTACAATGGCCGACATGACGCATACAGAAACATGCTGTGGCCAAGCTTTTATGTTACAGTACATGAGAGCATGACACGTCTTGGTCATATCGAATCGAACTGTTTCAGTTCAGTTCACTTGGTGGTCTTTAAATCAGTTCAGGTGATGTGTATCATCATTCTTGAGAAGAGCCCTGTATGTTATCACATTTCACTCACATGGCAGTTTAATAGGATATGTTGTTTATTCATGCAGCTGTCAGCCAATCATGTGGCAGCAGGGCAATGCAAAACAAATAGCATGCAGAAGAACCTCAAAGAAAAGTTTTATTTTCCATCTTGGGGAATCCATACCACAAAGAACTGAAGCTCCAATTAGTATTCATCTGGTGTTCCTAATAAAGTGATCACTGAGTTTATCCCCACACAACAGAAGTATCTGACCCAGATTTGGCTCTGTATCGTTGCCAGCCTTTTGTATGTTGCAATAAGAATTAAATAGTTGTGATGTTGGTGCTACCAGCATTATGATGATATACAGGATGTCTTTTTTGGTTCAACAGAGATACTTGGTCCACACTTTGCATGCATACAATCAGGTGTGAGTACTAACACTACGTTCACACAGGGGCCCGAATCTGAAACCTGAATGGATAGTTCACCAAAATATGAAAATTCACTCAGTATCCTCTCACCACTATGCTGACGGAGGCGGGGCGAGGGGTTTTTGGGGTGGGGGGGTGATGTGTTTGAGTCCACCAAACACTTTTGGACTCTCAGGAGTAAACAGCGTTGCATCCAAATCCAATGTAATTGAAGTAAACAGGAGTGCTTCTTCAGACATAAAAACCTTTGCCTTCATACTGCTCGTGTGGTGTCATCCAGGTGTCCGTAAGCCCCGACATTTATATTCAACTAGAAACAGCGTCATTTACACCAATGTCCTCTAATATTGTTGGTGCGTTCATGTACACACGGACACACCGGAAAACCGCACACACTCTCGCCCAAGGTCACGTTGGGTGCGCATTCGCATTTTCTGTGAACTATCCCTTTAACTCTCCCATCTGGGGCCTCTATGTTATTACCCACTTGTTTACTTGTCTCCTTGTTTACTTTTGTGCACCGCTTCCTGCGTGTGACGTCTTGTTGTTCTTCTGTGCATGCAAGTCACATCAGGGCCATGAACAGGTCACAATGGAGTCTGATATTGGCCACATTTAAAAAAATAATGCGAACAGCTACATAAAAAAAATCATGAATTGTGCACTAATGCTTGTAGTGTGAATGGAGCTTCAGTTTATTACTTAAATGCATTATCTTTACAGGGAAGTGCAAAAACTTTTTTAAAGTATATAAAAGTCTATTAAATAAAATGACTGAAAAAGACGAAATGAAATCTTAATTGTCTAATTTATTCTAGTTTTCTACCATCACGTCTCATGTCTCCATCAGTCTGACATTCAGCTGCTGTAATGAGGGATTTTTCCTGCTGTGGAATCGATAAGGTTTATCATATTTTATCTTAAAGCTTATGAATGACAAAAATTAGGTCTCACAATTTCCAAATTGTGAGCTGACTCACTCATATAAAGCTGCAATTGTACTTTTTTGAAATGCCTGTCAGATAATGAAGCTCTTGACCTGATGATTGGTCATCTGTGTCTTTGAACTTCTCTCTACAGCTCGCTCTCTTCAAACACAAACACATTACACATGTCACTTCCTTATATTAAACAATATTGCACCCCTTCCACTTCTAGGTAAACTTTTTTAATAACCCTACGCTGGAATTGAAAATGTCTTTCTAACGCTTATTCATCAGAATCCAAGGAAAAGCAAATGTAAATATAATCATCACAGGAGAAAGGACTGAACTCTACACTCACCATCAACCGTGTGTGTAAATACTCAATTAAATGAACCTACTGACCAAGTGTCTGACGTCTGTTGCTTGTTGTTGCTATGTGATACAGGACGTGCTGATCTTTGAAGTATCTCATCAACGTCTCATCAAAGTGTGACAAATGAATGAAATTCAACTGAACTAACCGGACACTGACAGGAATGAGGAGGAAATGACTCGGTTGACTTTGTTTTTTGATTAGACTGGGCCCTTTGGGATCGAGCTGAATAAAATGCACCTTTTTTACCCCTCATGTCCACTGTTCCATCAAAGCAGACTTGAGGCAAATGCTTTCAGAAACCAAAAGGAGTTTAATAAATTATGTATCCAGGTTTTCTATGCTTGTGTCATCTTAGCCTACTTTCTTTGGTACTTTGGGGGGAGGCGCAGTTACTTGTTGCTCTCCATGATATCTCCCAGGTCATGCATTATACATGGAGCTATTCTGCATTTTGCATGCATACAATATGGCATTCAGTTCATCATCACAACCCCACCATGGTGCTCTGTGAAGCCTGTCAAAGGAAAAAGCCTGAATATTCTTATTTCTTTGTTTTGGTGTCTAAGAATGAGCAGGCACATGTGTGGAAAACAGAAACTGTATCTACACTCGTAGTGATTTGTAAATGTATTCACACACACACACACACACACACACATACACACACACAGTCAAAATCCATCAGCTTGACATTTGAGCGTGCAGGTCAGAGCTGGGCATCCTCACCGTGCCAGTGGCTGTGCGTATCCACGGAGACAGATGTGAGCAGAGGCAGGAGAAGAGCATATTCACGTTCACAGAGCAACCGAGAGCCACGACTCCACAATCTGGGTCAGTGCTGCTGGAGCCATTCTTACAGAGGGGGGAAGACAGCCACGGAGGAGGGGGGGGGGGTGCAGACGTCACAGGCCCACATGGATCCAAGCATCCAGCCGCAGTCGCATCCTCCGCCTGCAGCTGCTCTGGATCCGGACGCAATGAATTCCACAGAGACTCCGATGGGAGCAAATCCACGAGTTTCTCACATCCACACACGACGACAGCTTCCTTCTAGAACACGACCTCGTCTGCACGATGCAGCGCCGCCTCGCCCCGGTGAAACACTGGCTCTATTCCTCCTCCTCCTCCTCCTCTTCCTCTCTCTGCCTGATTCACTGCTTTATCGCTCTATTTCTGTCTTTCTCTGACGCTCACCCATGCTTCCACCTCACTGCTCCCTCCCTCTCTCTCTCTAATTCTCAGCTGTGTCTCGGTGCTGCCCAGAGGATGCTGAACATGTGTTCAGGGGTGGGGGTTGGGACTGCTGACTCCATAGGTGGCACGCTGACTTTCCTCACTGACAGGTTTTGGAGAACGGCAGTAGAAGCGACTCACTGGCACTCGCTTCAGATTAAATCTTCGACTCGTTAATGCTCCTAATTCTGATTCGAACATCTGAGCTGTCATAAATGGGATTAATTGCTGGGATTAACTGCCACACCGCACTTGCTCTCTGGAAATTCTATTCAATCCAGCATCCGTATAGCAAATCACATACACAACATACATTATCTCAAGACCGTATAATATTATAGAGCAATCCAACAGCTCCCACAACGAACCTCCCGTTTTTACTGAAGGAAACCCCCAGACTCCATCTGCCTCGACCGGTTGGGATGAGAGGGAGAGGCGGGCTGGAATAAAGGGAGAGAAGAGGGGGGAGATACCAGGAATAGTTGTATATGTGATATTTATAGATGTAATGGTGTTATTAGCAGCACCCATTATTATTTGTAATAATAATGATAATAATAATAGTTGTTGTTGTTGTTGAGTACTGTCAAATCCGGATCCTGCAGAGATACCATGCGGAATGAGCAAGAGAGATACAATGATGACCGCCCACATTGAGTCTGGTTCTAGAGGTTTCTCCCTGCTGAGGGAGTTTTTCCTCCACAGTCGCCAAAATGCTTGCTCATTGTGAGAACCGTTTGGTTTCTCTATATCGATATGATTTTAATGTCTTGACCTTCTATGTAAAGTGCCTTGAGATAATGTATATTATGATTTGGCGCTATACAAATAAAATTGAATTGAATTGAATTGAGAGAGACAGAGAAAGCAAGCGAGAGAGAGAGAGAGAGATCCATTGAGTACTACAGTAAAGACAGAGGAGGAGGGGATGTGATTAAAATCATTGTCATTTAACTAAATGGCCCCACACCACTGAACGAGGGGGGAAAAACAAACCCTACAGGCTCAGAACAGATATGCAGCACAAGAGTGTTTTTGTTCCCCCTCTTCACTGCTGCCTCCTTCTCCCCTGACAAGAGATGCATTTCTCCACATTATACGGCAGGAGTAGTGGGGAAGAAGAGGATGTGGGAGGCACAGAGTGTGTAGGAATAAAATGGGCAGCCGTAGAGAGAGGGGGAGAAAAGAGAAGGGGAGGGAAGGGGGAAAAGAGAAAGCAAAAAGAAAGAGTGGGAGAGAGAACATAGAGCTTTGGAATATTTATAGAAGGCTAGAGACTGATAGAAAGAAATAAGCTCCTCTATTTCTGTGCTGTGACACACAGTCACATCTTGGATGATAGGCTGTCAGGCTAAGTCATATCAAAAGGATGCTATGGTGCTTCTGCTGCAAGGGTGCACGTTAACTGCAGCAGCAGCATGCAGGAAGATGCACGTCTTTATTTCAGGTAGATTACACCCACAATAAAATGGATCTTGGTTATAGGCTTCAGGGGGAAGTGTCTCTGAAATGGATGTTGATTCAGGGATGTGCTGTAGAAGAATCACTTAATCAAGGAAACGATGACCTTGTGACAGTCATAAGAGCCATTCCACTGAGTTGCATAAACAATCAGGGTATTTGGGAGGGAGAGGGAGGGGATTTTTGTAAACTATGAATTTCATTGGATTTATTTTTAGCCGTCCTCTTCTTCTTGTGATGCGTGTGTCTGTTGTCGAAATGAGACTCTTTTCTCTGCTCGCTGAGGTAAAATTTGTTGAGTCAAAATTGATTTTATATGCAAGACATGTGATCATGCTAAAAACGTGCTAGCATTCAATCGAATGTGTGTGTGTGGAGACAAGACCAGGATACCTCTGGGCTTACGCTGTGACCTAGATTGGGCCTTGATGCTCCCAAGCCTGGCAGGCTGAGTGTGTGAGTGTGTGGTACGTGTGTGTGTGTGTGTGTGTGTGTGTGTGTGTGTGTGTACACCATCCATAGAGTAAATTTGTGTGCATGAAGCTTGAGATACAAAAGAGAGAGGAAGACAGCAGAGAGGAGATAGAAAGGATATATATATGTGTGTGTGTGTGTGTGTGTGCGTGCACATATATGTACACATGAAATGAAGCTGCATGGAAGCTTGCTGCATTGCTTTGTGTGGCTAAGAGCCTCAGCTGGAAGGTTCATGCAGTAAGAGAGCTTATCCAAAGAAGCGTGCACACATTGATGAAAAATTACACAGCTTCTGCCTCACAGGGCAACCTTATGCAACGTCAAATGCAGGAAAATAAATAGTTACACAACATAATGAAAGGACCATTAATTAGAAGAAGACTGAGATTCACACTACCTTGGTTTGTCTGCAAAGCATATCAGCTGTTAGCTGTGTAAGTAGAAGAGGCTGTTCTTGCCAGTGGAATCGATATATTTCTTATACATACATATGGCAATAAATAAAAAATCATCACAATGTATTTTATGGCTTTTAAAACCTCCTCCGACCGTGCCATTATGCTGCATTATATAGTCCAAGTTGTTATTACCTGAGGACTCAAATCCATACCTCCTGTCTCCATGAATGTGCTACTATTTAATGCATTATACTGGCCTTATGTAAGGAATGAGTGGAATCATCTCGCCCCAGTTAATTCCTGACCTGTCCTCTGGCCAAACTCGCCTCTATATTGTTAAATGGTTAATCCTGTGCATCATGGCCTTACACTGGGTAAGAATTTGACAAGAAAATATTAGTTTCATATATTTTCTTGTGGTTAACAGCATGTTTACGAAAGGATAAATGTTCTTCCTGGATATTTCTAGAACATTCTGCCCGTCACTTGTGATAAAAATAGCTGTTTCACACACACTGTCATGCATGGCTGATGGAGGAAGACTCATCAGCAAACACAAGTGTCCAATTTGCACAAAACAGGAAATAGCAAATATGCACGTGTGCGTGCGGACGTGTGCACACACACACACATCCACACTAGAGAAGATAGAGAAGAAAATCAGAAACCAAAATCTTATCTTTCACTGTCAGCATTATTATAGGTATTTCTTTTGAACTGTTATTATATTCCCAGTAAAAATGTTATCAACATTACATCAGTGGAGTTTTCGTCTTCGAGCTATTTAAGTGAATCACATGGACCAGTGCCATTAAACAGATTAAAGTTAAAGCTGCACACAATCAAACGAACATTACACCCAGAACAGTTCAACTGACCATTTGCCAACAGCTTTGTTTGTTTCCCCATTCTGAAGTGGTGCGCAGAGACGAGTAGTGAGAATGAGTCTGGAGTCGGTGAGTCAAACATATGCTGCAGGCATCGCTGTGCTTGGCTAAGCAACTACTGCAGTATCCTGGCGTGACTTCCAAAGCCAAAGAGCACAGTGTTAACCAACTACATCATTCTGTGGGAATTACGGTTAAATTAGACCCTCAGCAGTAACATTAAAGAATCAGAAATATTAAGGTTATGTTAAAAAAAAAAAGGAGTATATTTCTGAAGCTAAATAACATCACAAGAACAATGCTGCTCCTTAATTTCCAAATTTTTTCTACATGGATCATAAGCTGGTAAGCATGCCTGGAGCATGCAGCTTGAGCATCAGTAGCTTTATATTAGCATAATTCATGTATGTTGTATGTATGTATGTATGTATGTATGTTGCCAAATGCATACAAAGACCTAGCTTTCTCATTTCAATTTAGCTGGGAGCATTTAAAGTCAAAATTAGACCTATTCAGTCACAAATTATGATTTTTGAGTGGTAAACTATCATTGTAAACTCAGCTGCATATGTGCAGCACAAGCATGAAAACATGATAGTTGGTAACAGCAGTGTGGTAGATTTAACAAACGCTGAGTCGTCTTGATAATAAAAGTGACACCAAACAAAGATTGTGCTCCTTTATTTGAGGTTTCATTGGTTCAGGCAAAGGTTTTTACATACGGATCCTTCGCTGCTCTTTCCAGAATTCAGCAATCCCTTGAGACAGTGCTAACTCTGCTAAGCCCCTGCACTCATGGGGAGTGAACCCTACCAGCGCTGTGTGCTTTGTGCCAACCCCCTGCCTCCCTGCCAGCTCCGTGACCCTCGCCGTGATGAGAGAAGCCGGAGCATGATAGTAAGGCTGTCCTTCAATGTTGAAAGACGGCCAGGGTTCATCTGCACTCGCGTGAGTAGGCGGGCTCCCCTTCACGCTCTCGACATTACAGGCAATTTCCACAGCACCCTCATGCGGCAGAGCCAGCACCTGCACCCCTGGAAGGCCCCCAGGGGTCGACGTTTTGATCGCTGTGGCGATGCTACGTCCTATGGCGATGTCCTGGGTGTTGATTGTGACATTGCAGTTCATGACGTATGGGCCCGCCCCAACGCCTAGAGGACAGCCAATGCAGAGAAACAGAACACTTAAACTGAGACATCCTGTTTTTCTCTGTAAAAAAAATTAATTTACAGTTTTGTTAAACATTACACGTCTTTTTTTGGTGAGAAATTACTCTTCAAGACATTACCTTTGTATAACACTTAGATGTATTAACTGTCAATCTGGTACCTCTGCTTTCTCTTTTGTTACTGTTTTTCCCAGAATTACTTTCAACAGCTTCAGGAAATGAGCATTTACTTGGAGCTTTCGCTCATTTTTCAAGCACATCGGTGCAGAGGAAAGTCGCACTGCAATTATTGATTGTGAAAGCAAGACACTATAGTCTGCTCAGGTCAAGAATTATGTGCCTTCCCTAAAACAACATATGCATTGTATTGTGTGTTATTAATCATACAGTTGGTGGAGATGTAAATCTCTGCCTTTCCTACAACATACTTCTCCCCGTAAACCTGTTAAAAACCCAACAGTGCAGTTGGTCTATAAAGACTTAACTTGATTCTGAGAAACTGACAAGATTAATGTCTAAAAGAGATTCAAAATCCCTCGATTTTAAGGGCTCTAAGAAATACCTTAGTAATGACCGATACGATTTTCTGTAAGACCAAGAAATGTCCAAACAACTGTATGTACAGAATAATCTTAGGCAGACAACACCTGCAGCTGTTTTTCTCCATTGCGCTAAAGTGGGAGAAATTGCAAGCTAATTTTAGTATTGAGCGCTAAACAAGTGATTAACTTTGACCTGGTAGGTTTGCTGCTGGTGCTGCCTCTGAATACCAGGATGTCTGGATGTCATCACCATGGTGATTTTATTTGACAGATATCCTACCAGCAGATACCAGAACAGTGTGTTGTTACCTCGAACACGACTGTATATGAACGATGTGTGATAGAGAAAGTGCTGGGCACGAAAGCACTGCATGAATGTGTGTGCGAATGGATGAATGGCAATAAACTACTGGAAAGGTCTCTGAGTGGTCATCAAGACCATTTACAAATTTAAGTGTCTCATTAGGGAGGATACGCAGTTAAAGAAAATAAATAATTTTCACATTATAATTTTCACAAGTAGCGATATAACATATATAATATATAGACAGTTATAACACCTCCTCACTGTGCATACTACCTCAGAGTGGTAAAACTGATTTGCTGTTTATCAAGTATTTGTCTTTCTCTGTCCATAAAGAAGAGTTTTAAACCACAAACTTCTCTCAGGAGCAAAAATCTGTATCTGCATCTGAAAGAATGATAATGAAGAAGAAATAATGTGACATTGTGATGACAAATTTGCAATTGAATGCTCCTCGCACCCCCTGTACACTGCTCGACAAATGTCACACGACATAGCTGAAAATCGTACCAACTCTAAAATGAGTCACACGAATCAGAAATTGTGTCAAAATCTGGGCTGATAGCAAACAGAGTCCGTCCGGCTTTAGAGCTCTTTCATCTTACATATTTTCATGTGAGTTTTGAATTGTTAAATTTTTTCGGGCTCTGTGGTTTTTGGCATTAATAAGGTCAAACTAGAGGAGAGAGGTGGCCTCTGGTCAGGCTGGAACAAACTACAATTGTGTATAAATACAGAGATAAGTCAACAGCATTGTATAATCCTGGCAAAGAGACATGGTAACCTGCCCTTCAGGCTCAAACATTTTACTACGTCAGCATGTCTGGGAGATTCATTTTTACTTGTGGTGCCAGCTCTGTCTCACCTGTGAGGCCATATCTTTTCCCTGGCTCCGGCCCCATGTCAACCTGGATCGCCTGTAAGTCAGGCCTCTTCTTGAACCAGCCCATCTCCTTCCTCCTCTGTGCCAGCCCACGCTGAAGGGGGGAGTCTGCCCAGCCAAACAGGAAGGCAGTGGTGCCATGGACCCTCTCTATCAGTCCCTGAGCCACAGCTGAGCCCGGACAAGTACACAGACGTGTTAGTTAACCAGCCAATGAGGGCATGTCGTCACATGCACTTTCAAAGACCCAGGAGCCAGAGGAGCGTGACAGACTAAACACACCTGAGGGAATACAACTCAGACAGAGGGGAAAATACAGACACATGGGGCACTTGTGACATGCATGCACACATACAGTACATATGCCTGCCTGTTGTTATTCTGCAACCCCACCACACAGATCAGCCTGCTAAGTGCACACTTGGCCGTATGCTGAGTTATGGCTAATTCTTTGTTAGACACGCAGCTGCTAAGTCAGCTGCTAAACTGTGAATTTAATCAACAGCACAGGAAGCTAAAGACATCACATCATCAGCCACTACCTCATTACAGTGTATATACACATCTACAATAAGTCAAGAAGGAAGAGGCAGTTTTTTCAAATCATATTCTAGCAATGAAATGAAATTTGTATTTGCAGATGCTGGACTGAATACATAACAAAGAGAGTCAAGTAATGACTGAGGCATGCAAGCTGTTGAACAGTGTAGGATATGTTCGACTGAAGGGGACATATAAGCTGCCTTCAGACCTGCACTGAACTCCGGATAATCTCCGGACATTCTCAGGAGAAAGCAAACGTTCCAGTGAGAGCGTCTAGACTTTTTCAGAGATGTCCTCTTGTGTTCTTGTGTGAAAGTTATACTCCAGAGAAAGTCCGGAACAAGCTGTGCAGACATCATCCGGAGTTCTTGTCTCAAAACGGCTATAATATGTTATATGCGACCCACACACAAATACAAACATGCACAAAAGGCATCTCACCCCGAGCCTCCTTTGCACAGTCCTCCACTCGCACCTCCTCCCCCAATGGATAGATGGGTATGAGGTCGACGGCACCCATACACGGGTGGACACCTATGTGAGCGCACATGTCAATCAGCCCGCAGGCTTTCTCGCATGCAGACAGAACCGCCTCCCCTGAAAGACATAAAACATATCAAACAATAAAAGTGCATGAGATATACTGTCATAGTGAAGCGCTGATGTGATGTGTGTGAAATATAATTTTTTTATCTGACAGTTATTTTGTTAAGTTACAGTTTTGTGCATTAGATTAGGCCGAGTTCTTTGTGTTTAAGAAAGCGTGGAGCACAGAAGTGTAACCCTTGACTGCTTTGTCTACATTGTCAGAAGGTTGTGTTTCGCATACGTATTCAATAAGATCAACTTTTCAATATGAGCTTTCCTCATCCTGATTTTTTTTTTGTGTTTAAATCCCTGACAAAGCTTATTAAAGGATTTATTTCTCCCTCAGAGGATTTAAAAACAGGGGACAGAGAATGAATCCCTACTGTGGCAGCAGGAATACAAAAAAGACAAAGTCTCTATCTGTCCCTCAGAGCAGCAAAATGAGTGAAACATTTTATTTCCCAATGAGACATCAGCAAAAAACAAAGATTCACTACTCACTGATGGAGTCAATGCTGGCCACAATGGTGATGACAGAGCGGTTGTAGTCATGATCATTAAAGATGTTCAGCACTGTGGTCCCCTCTCGTCTGGCACCTGATGAATAACAATTACAAAAATGTCTGATTTAAAATCATGTTTTTGTAATTACTGTACACCATGAGTTTATTGCTCGACAGTCACTGTGTTCACTGTGTCTTAATTCAGGGGCTGCATCCTTCAGAGGCTGCATTTAAAGACCGATTCTGTCAAAGCGGTGCACCTAGACTGTCACCATTTGAAGGCTACTCCAAATGCGGCCGACAAATGTGTCCTGTGACAAATGTGAGCAACGAGGCGGCACCGAGTGTTTTCAAAGAAGTAATGATGGGAAAAAGCAAGGCGATAACATCCGCAGAATTTATTATTAGGGTTAGGGTAAGTAGTTGTTACTCAGTCAAACAGCTAACAAAGTTTTTACTCCGTAGCTCATGCAATGGCTGTAAGGGCGGGACAAACTAGTGATGCAGTTAGACCAGACCTCACGAAGGATGCAGCCGACTTCAGCTGCGTAGACCAGATCCTCCTCAGAAGTATTTCTTGTCTTTAGTGAGTTCTCCTCAAACAGTTCTACAATATACTGTCACTGTTTTATTGTTTGTGTGTTGGACATTGTGTGCAGAGCTTTTTCATAAACAGTCTGCGGTGTTTAGTGAAGTAAGAAAACTTTGTGTTCATCCTACCTAGTTTATATATGCAATGAAGATCTTCAGACCCAAGTTCACGACTATTCAATATAATATCTGCGTAATTCAGCTCAATAAAAAGCATTACCGCAAAAATGAACGTTGGGCTTTTACTTTGATAACAACTTGGTAGAGAGGAAGGAATTGTGTGGATGTTGGCATGACGGAGTTTAGTACCAGTGACTCCCGTGAATGCCTGTGTCTGATGTCTGATATGGTGAAATAAAATTAATCAAATTATCTAAATGATCTGGCGGGACAGACATTATTGCTGGTGGGCCAGTTTTAAACTGCAGTTTGACCCAGATATCTGAGGACATAGAAGAATGCATGTTCAAGTCGGTCAACAGACTGAAGGCATGCTGCCCCACCCCCACTGACTGCTACAGAGCAATGGTTGTCTTATTTTTAAGGTCTTGACATGTCTTCTATGTAAAGTGCCTTGGGATAATGTATATTATGATTTGGCATAATACAAATAAAATTGAATTGAATTGAATTATTCAAATTTGAATAATATTGATCATGTGTCGAAATCTCACCAACCTCAACACTGCACTTTCTTGGGCAATAGCAATACACATGCCATTGCCAAGCGTGAAGCTGATTAGTTCAATCGTTCATGTGACGTGTTCCACATACATACATGCATACAACTAGTAAGTAAAAACTGAGCATGTGCACTTGAAAGCTACTCGCACACATGCCAAGGTTTGAAATGTTAGTCATAACTCATGTGTCCTGATACAGAAGAACAGTGTACTTGCCTTCGGTGTTGTACAAAGCTGCCGTGGCCACAGTCTCCACCAGGTCTTTCCTGCGAGCCTCAGAAACATTGAGGAGACAAGCCACCAGTCGTCTGCCCAAGGAGCTGGAGGCCATGTTACTGCAACAGCGATAACACTGAATGCCGTCTCAGTCTGCTGCAGAGAGTGCAGGACTTAAATAAGAGGTGCACTGACCATATTGGAAAAAAAAATTAAAATAAAAGCAGTGATTTATAATTTTCCACTCACAACTCATATTTAACTGGACAGAAATATAGCCAGGATAATGAATATGTTCACTCAAATGCATGAAGACAAATATTCAAGTGAGACTAATACTTAATACTAATACTTACTCTTGAAATGAATAGTTGAATTCACAAGCATTGAAGCACACTGCTTCTCAGTTCAATACACTAAGAGGCTTTGCTTTGACTGTGAGACTTGTTCGGGCACAATCAGTTGCCTATAGTGGCTTCTATTGGCTGACTCAATGATTCTTTAAGACTAATTGTGCTGCTGTAGTTTTAGCTTTTGTCCATCCATCCCATAATTGTAGCCTGTGGCACATGTGACAGACGTGAAAGAGTAAGGAGAAGCTGTGGTGAAGGTTATGCTGCCTGTATCATCATCCAGCATGACCAGTTTTGGTGGTGGGTCAGTGGTGGTCTGGGGAGGCATATCCTTGGAGGGTCACACAGACCTCCATGTCATAGCCAGTGGCACCTTGACTGCTGTTAGGTACCGGGATGAAATCATCAGAGCACATGTCAGAACGTACGCTGGTGCAGGACAATGCCCGGCCTCATGTGGCCCTCATGAGTGGAGTCACATTGTGAATTTTTTCAGTTTGATTTTCAGTGTGGTTTTGAATCCAGCCCTCATGGGTGGATTTTGGTTTCCATTGACCGCTGTTAGGTAATTTTGTTTTTCAATTTTCAACTTGAATAATTGAATAATTCGTTCATCAAGATCTGATGTGTGATTTAAGTCTTTTGGAGATGTTTTGGAGCTGTGTGGATCAGTTATATGTGAGTCTTCTCCTCTATATGTTAGATCTGGATGTTTAATGAATCAAGAGTTGAATATAGTGGTCCGATGTGGCCTATGGGAACTGTTACCAGTTATAACACTGAGTGGCGTTGCTCTATATCAGTGTTATGCGTCTGTTACAGAACAAGCTCAAAGTCCAGCCTGGTGTAAACCAACTCAACACATGGACCTGAGGCATGCAGGTTAAAGCATGTCACGGAACAGGGCATACCTGCACCGGGTGACTTCTCTCTCAGAAGTGTCATGTGCAGATCTCGAGGAAAACACTCACTGAGCTTCCTGACTTCAGTGCAGCGGCCAATCCACGCTCCTGCAGCGCCACGACACATGTAGCATGTGGAGCTAATGGGGAGGGAGATCAGTGCAAGATGCTTCACTCCTGTTTACAACCGACTGGAACACCTCACAGAAAGATGTTAGATGGTGCATTTTGCTTTTAACCCGAAACGTGTTTTTTTCTCCGTCTGTTTATTTAGCATGAAATCTTTTTTATTGTCCAGTATTATTCTTTATGTATGAATGACTGTATATGTGAGTATCTATGGATAACGTAACGTGACTCTTTTGCATATTTTACATGCATGTTAAATGTGATTTTATTCATTAATGTGGTCTTTTCTCATTCAATCACACTTTTGGACATTTTTTCTCTCACTTGTTTCTATATAATGAATTTATTCTCATCCCTCGCCTTTTAAAAACCAAATTGAAAACCTTTAATTAACAAGTGCCTTTAACTCACCTATGTTACAAGATTATAAAATCATTGTGTTTATTCTATTTTATGTTTCTACGCGTTGCTATCTTCTACTTTTGTTTATTTTTCCTTCAACCTTAAAATTGTACATTTACCTCTTTTACTTTAGTCTTTTTATTTCCTTAAGCTTATTTTAAACTGAACTTTCTACATTTTCTATTGACATAATTAGATTTGTATCTCTGTGGTGTTTAGAATGTCCCTGTGTGAATCTACCTGTGTGTATGACATGTGCTTAATAAATAAAACTCCCTTGACCGAAAATGGTGTGGTTGACGAACTAAGTCGAACACGGAAGTGCACAGCAGTGTATCCTCTCTACGCTCCAGTGTCTCCGGGGCAGCACAGACATGCGCACCGGTGCTAACAGCCTGCGGTCGTGTTCGGACAAACAGCGCCTCTGCGTGGACGGGAAACAGTCAGACCTGTCACTATGTTACAAGATCTACGTGCATGTCTTCAGTCTGTCCCAGCTGGAGACAGACAGCGGGTAGGAGACCTTGTGTAACGCGACGTACTGAGGTCACAGTCCCCCCGGACCTCGCTCTGAGGTTAGCTGTCGATAGCGTGATGCTGCGGCGCTAGCACAGAGCAGCTATCGTTCGTCAACACGCTAGCGTCCAGCAGCAGCATGGAGAGGCTGCGCTGAGAAAGACATCGTTTCCCAGTCCATGCGTTTTTTCCTCCCCCGAGCCGCTGCGGTGGGTTTTACTCTGTCAACTGTGGCCAAAGCAATGAGCTCTGTAGCGGCGACATCCTCCGAGCCTCCGGGCCTGCGAGCAGCGGCCAGCCGAGATGCGTGCCCCGGGAGCCCGCTGCAGAGGCTGCCTGCGGTGCCCGGAGCCCCCCCGAGCCGGGTGAACGACCTGCTGCTGCTGCGGCCTGACGCGCGGAGCCAGGGGGATTCCGAGCCCGAGGAGAAGAGCAGCAGACATGTTGTGTTTTTCCACGGAGACATACAGGTGAGTGGGAGCTGAAGTCATCCAGGGGCGTGGGGTCCTCAGACCCACGATCACTGATGCTTTGAATCACCTAAAAGTGACTCGATTATCTTTATTCCCACACGCTCGAGTTGTCGCACTGTTGTTGAGGGTTAAGGGAAGAGGAAGCCGTTGATTGTTAAGCCACATAAGGCAAGTTGTGATTTGATAATGTGGGCTATACACATATAATTCGATTGATTGACATTCACTGATGTTTACAGTGGACCTGAGGCACACATTCTCATCAGAGGTGATTGTTTCTGCACAGCTCCAGTACAACCTGTGAGAAAACAGCTGACTCAAGTTCATAGACTGTAAACACTCAGCTTTGTGATGAGTGTAAAGACAACATACAGTTAATAAATATGACCCCTACTGGACAACTGCTGTGTATCTTGCAGATGTTAAGTTATAATGTCTTTGACAAAGCATATGACGCATAATTGGTGTCACATGTTACTGTTAAAGATTAGCAGGGGAACAACCCAGCTCGGGGGAACCATGACCTGCACATCATCGTAAACAGAAGGCGGGCCTGTTTTATAATGACTGTTTCCCTCTTCATTGGGTAGAGTAATGAGTCTGCTGTCACTTTAGGACGCACATCTGAGAGAGGACTTCCACATGTGGGGGCAGATATTTGACCCTGTAGCACTGGACTGCTTTCAGCGAAGTTGATATCAAGTGAAGTTTATTTATATGGGTGTTCATAAAAGTCTGTTTAGAGCTTTTGTCAGAACATTTCACTGAAAGCAGCACTTCTCTCCTCACCAAATCAAACCCTATCACACAGAGCTGTCACTGCAGATATTCCTGTTTGTGTATTTGTGTCACATTTGGCTGTGGGCTGGAGCAGTGTTTCGACAATCATTCCCCATTTTATCTGAGCAGGAGCTAAAACTAACCAGACTTTCACTACATTTGGAGAAGTTTGTGGTTTGGAATCACAAAATAATTGAAATGTACACACTGGACACTAAAGTGACACTATAGTGAGGGTATCAAAAGACAGTTCTATAAATACATTAAGATATCGTGCAACACAAACATGTTGAGTGAGTCTAAATATCTGTGTAATATGGTTTTTACATCTATGGAGCAATGAACCACAGCAGGATTTATGATCCGTACTGCAGCCCACCACAAGGTGGTGACCAAGATGCTTTGGCTACACTATTGGGGAACAGTTATCATCCATCTTTATATATGGCATCTTATCTTATCTTACCTGCTTTACCTATATGTGTTTTAAAACATATTATGGCAAATAAATAGATTATATTTTCATCAATAACAAACTACTCTGCTGTTACCGGTGTCCTGAATAGTAATTTTTTCAGAATGAAACATCATAGTTAAAAATAAAATGGGTATGGGGAAACTGTGGAGGCGATCAGTAAAGAGGAGGGGTGTTTCTGAACATATGTGCAGTTCTGGGCCAGCCTGGTAATGACTTTGGGTATTAGATTGTGCAAAGCTGTGTCAGATATTCTTTGTTTTCATTTTTTAGGTAGGTGAAGAGTTCTCACTCATCAAGTGCATGTGTCTAGATGAGTTACAGGAGCTTAAGCATCACACGTGTCTTTCTTTTCTCATTTCTCTAATGAGTTAAAGAGCCTCCTTAATTTATTCTGGCTTTTCAAGTGTCCAGTCCCTCTGTTCACTGTCCTCATCTGCAATTCATTAGGCAACTTTCTCCACAAGTGTTAATATTCCCGCAGTGTGCTGGTATTTCCCAGGAGATGCTCATATATGCGCTGGATGCCCTCACCGTGATGTTTCCATATAAATAAAAAAGAATGAAGCCTCTGTGTTCAGGACCACACACCAACAGTGTGACAGCACACTGAGAAGAAGCTGCTGATGGAACTAATTAGGTGGACCAAAGGTCAGACTCACCACGGCTGTGACCAGCAGTTTTGGTCACAGATTGAAAACGACATTTGTTAAAAAATATTTTTGCAATGTTAGTGTGTTCCATCTTAAGATTGTAAGTGTTTAAAGGCCCATTAACATGGCCATTGCAAATCCATCTCCTCCCTAGCAAGAGTTAAATTATACAACATGCAGTCATTGCATCGTGTGAAGCTGTGTAAGATCTGTGCTAACAATCTAATTTTAGACAGACTGGGGGATTAGCTGTTTATACTTGGACACAAGCAAATGCAGAGTGATGCTAGATGAACACATCCTATTTTCTGTGAGTCCAGTATGTGCAGGTAAAACGTGTATTTAAAGTTTGACCATCTATTTGTGTGTGCTCTTTGTGCAGAACTTCCAGGAGGAGATGGCTGTGCAGCCTGAGGGAGCTCAGTGGCTCTCCTGGAGTCTGGAGCAGGTGGCCTTCACTCTGGGCCAACGTTTCCCAGACCAACATGTTTGGGTGGTCAGAGCCTCACGCATGTATCTCCACAAGTTCAGCTGCTACCGCAACTTTGTGGAGAGCAACATGTTCGGGGCACCGGAGTACTCCCCTGACTATGGAGCGTTTCGCCATCTCAGGTTTTTGGCCTTCTTTTCTGCTCATGTCTGCCGGATTATATTGCACATTAGTTTGAAATGAAGACACTTTCAGCTCCATACACTCATTTGGTAGAGAGGCTGACAAAGAGACAACCGACATAAAGGCTCCATTCTCACATATTGAGCTTTAGAACTTGCAGTAAGCACGTCGTAAAATACTAGACTTAAACTGTGCTGTAATTATTGTGTACATGAGAGTTTTATTATGCCTTTCATTTTCATTTACATGCCTCAGATGATACCACATCATTTTTAAGAGAAATAGTCTTTTTTCATTTGGAAAGGAAAGATTCCCATGATAAAATGGTTCTCTCTCATATCTGTCCAGTTGAATATGAAGCTGGAGCCAACCCGTCAGTTAGCTTAGCGTAGCACAAAGACTGGAAACGATGAGGATGGTGTTTTTTTTATGTGTCCAAAATAATACACACCTTGCATTACATCAGTAACTACCAGGAACCAGTTGGACTCGTTATTGTGACACATGCTTTAACGCTGACGAACACATTCAGCTTCATGACTCACTTGTGTTATTTACTTATAACTTGTAGCTGCTATATACTGTAAATGCTGACACACTGATCATTTTGAGTAATAGAAACTATGTGATGACTTTAATTAGTAGTTCTACCAACACTTTTTAGTTTGATAGCCTTGTAAACGTAAACATGTTCATTAAATGCTTCGGCACGAGCAGCTGTACAGCAACTGAATAATTTAACTGTGCAACTGGCAACAACGATTAAAATCAAAAAGTTAAGTGTAAGATTGTCAATCTGTGCATTTGTATGTTCTTTCTTCTCTCTTTAGAGAGTGGTCTTTCACTTCATGCTCAGGTTTTGTAATTCTTTCACTCAAAACCCTGTGCTCGCCCTGTGAATGTGAAATCTCGAAGTCCTGCTCTCAAAAAGAAAGACAACACTCTTGAATGAAGAAACGAGAAAAAAAAAAACGTACATTGAATGCCAGCTTTTGGAACTCAACAGTATTTTGTATGGACAGATCTGAAACAGTACCAAAAAAGTATAGAGGTTTGATACCCGACATTAGTTGCTGGATAATTTTTCTAATAATAATTACTGATGATGCCAAGTTCTAAAAAACATGACAGTTCAAAAAGCTGTACTTTCAAAGAGAAGTGACAAATAGACTGAGAGACACATAGTCAAAGGGAGACGCCTCAAATATTCCCATCGACTCTGAAGGTATCAACACTTCTTCATGAGCTTTTTTAACAATGTAGCCTGTATTGCTGGCATGATTCCCTTGCACTGAATCTGATCAATGTTTCTGTTTGCAGGGCTCTGCTGAGCCACGGCATGGAGAGAGCCAACCTACCAAACCCCCTCCAGCCACAAGGAGGTGCTGATAGCATCCCCTCGGGGTTTTCACTGATGCTGGTAGGCTTCAGCAAAGGCTGCGTTGTGCTGAACCAGATGTTGTACGAGCTGGGCGGGGCCCGCACTGACCCGCAGATGTCCCCTTTCATTAAATGCCTCTCTGCCATGTACTGGCTGGACGGTGGCCACCCGGGGGGCAGTGAAACCTGGGTGACAGACAAGCGGGTGCTGAAGGAGCTCGCTGCCAGCGGGGTGTCAATTCACGCCCACGTGAGCCCCTATGAGGTGTGTGACCCAATGCGGGCCTGGGTGGGCCGCGAGCATAGACAGTTCATCAAAACCCTGGAGGAGTTCGGGGCCTGTCCGAGTAAGAAGCTGCACTTTGAGGATGAGCAGCCCTCCATCGAGAACCACTTCAGGATCATCCAGGAGTTTTGAGTAGCTATGAGCACTTGGATGAGACACACACACACACACACACACACACACACACACACACACACACACACACACTTATAGTTGTGAGGACACTCACTGATGTAATGCATTCCCTAGCCCCTTACCCTTACTTAAACCTAATTCTAACCCCAAAACCAAGCCTTAACCCTCCAACAGCCCATTGAAATTGGCATACACACACACACACACACACACACGCACACGCACACGCACACACACACACACACACACACACACACAGAAACCTAAAGCTGAATGTTCAAACATTACTGAGCACTTTAGATAGTTAGAATACAGCCTTTGTCTTGTTGGCTGGTTTTACCTCAGTCCTCAGAGATTTCAGGGCTCAGACTTAGGAGCACATGACAGATGCTGGTGTGTTATGTTTCTTTTCTGCTGCTAAATGCCCTTAATCTGAGGTGGAATGATCAGGTAGCCTTCCTCCTTCTCCCTGAGAAGACCTTGGATAAATTGAACATTCAGTGTCTTCCTTCAGGGGCTGCCCCTAAGCTTCAAACAGGCATAATGCTGGTTTAATATTATTTCATGGGATTCAGGGGTTTTTGTGGTAATCCATATATACAAGTAAGTAAAAAAAAAAAAAAGTAATGCAACCTTAGAAAGCTGATGTGGACGTCCATTACACTAAACATAAGCCTTTACGTTTGATTCTGCTGCAGAGCTGTGGAATTATATACATGAATGATACTTGATGTTTCTGTTTTATTCTCCTCATGTTTATTGAATGTGTGTAAGAGTTTGTGTAAGAGCTCATTACGTTCTCTACATACCTGCACTTGTGTTGAGCTTCTTTAGACACGAGAATGTCTGGAGGTCTAAGCTTTGCTGCCGTGTTCGCCCTCAGACCTCATTAGTTTGTTCTAAAGTGATTCTAGATTGTCTTAACCTGTGGCTGATGATTTAAGCCAAGTACACAGTCAGAACGTTCAAAATGGTTGTGTTATTCCCTCAGTGTGAAGAATGCCAGAGCTTTTCTGTTTGAATGTTTCTTAATATTGACAAATGTGAATTTGCTCCATTTAGTTTTGATTAGATTGTTTTCCTTATAACACATACAACATACCAAATTACCTTAATAAAGGTTAGAATAAGACAAACCGATGTTTACAATGTAATCATTTGTCAAAATGTGTTCACAGGATAATGTTTGTGTAGTTTGGTTATGTAGTAATATGACCATGGTCATAGTCATTGTTTATATAGAAGTGTACACTGCTGTATGTAAAATGACACATACTTGCTAGTTGTCGGAGATGTGATGAAACTGCTGCTTATGTCAGTGTGGCAGCATGTGTATTAACTTGTATGTCGTGTTCCATTCTGTATGAATCTGTGAGCTAACGTAGCATCTATGCACTGTGCTGACGTCTGCGGCTCATTTCGCTGCCTGTAACTTCAGAGCATTCCATTGGGTTTACTCTCTGTGTGTTAGCGTTGGGCTGTTTACCTACTGCACAGCCAACTGAACACACTGTGCTTCTAACCATCTGCTTGCCGAGTGGTGCCCCTTCGACACCACGCCACTCTGTCCCGTCCCGTTAACGGTTAACCAGTGACAGAGAGCATGGATCACGCCTCCTGAATCAGCAGGTGGCAGCAGTGTGGAGAAATAAAGAACTGAAAAAGAAAACATGTTTTATTTTTCTTTCACTGAACAAAAGACAACATGCTGCAACAGATATTTTTCTACAATCTTTAATGAGCTTTTTCAGTTTGTTTTGCAATGCCTACATATTAGCCTGCAGTTGATCAGAATATAACACAGATTATGTCTTTTCTTTTAGTCATTTCAGATGCAATCAGAATGCTCATACATTAAAAATATATATAAAATGCAAAATAAACAAACATCTCAAACGTATTTGCTTGTGCTTGTGGCTGGTTTGACTTGAGTCTACAGTGACTTTCAGTCTGGCTGCAGTTACAGAAGAAGACAAGTGTGACATCAGTGGTAGTTCAGGACTGCCGCCTGAGCACCTCCCGTCCACACAATGAGCACTCACGCACGAGGCCACCGGGTGACTAGCTGCTGAAAAATAACAGTACAATAGCTGTACAAAAACCTACACCACAGCATAAGTCATGTTCAAGTGACAAATAAACAATGCCGGCAAACACGAGCCACTTGTGTCTGACGTTCACGCATTTCATCATCCTGCAGAGAGAGATCCCTGACATCACTGCACTGAAAAACAAGTCCATCCTCTGCAGATCTGTCAAGTTCATCTGGTTGTTACAGACTCTGCTGCAACAGGAAAAGCAGCTTTATTTGTTTATGTACAACTGAGTTTTAAAGGTTTTTCTCAAAGTCAACACTTGAGAAACTTTCTTAGTCCACCTGAATGGAGATTTTTAAGGTGCTATTGCACGTTTAGATACGGTATTAGGAAGAACCATGACCAGACTTATAAAGAAGTTGTTACTCTTGAGATGAAGTAAGATCCGAGCTTATTTCTTCATACAGTAGTAAAAAGAGACAACGTGGCTTCTCCTGTTTCCATAATCTGACAGTATCAAGCTTGTTTGGAGTCGAAACTGCTCACTCAGATTAAATCTCACTGAGAAGAAAAACAAATCTTTTACAGTGTGGTGCTCCAGTTTGAAAGGATGACATCATAAAGATGACAGCATGGCTGTGGCGGGAGACGCCCATCTCCCACACAAAGGCCTTTGTCTCAGCTGGTGACAACAACAAACAAATACAACATGGACTTATTCAGTTTGGCACCTGGCAACTACAGGAGGAATGTTTGGAGGTTAAGAGCAAGTTGCTGCTGCTGCACTATAGAGGTGGTGGAGGGTTTTTTTTTTTTTCATTCAAGTCTCACTTGAACAAAAGATGGCACTTCCTGTGAGAGAACAGCATTTACATGACATGACATTACAGTTACTCTTTTGGCAGCGACTTCCAAGTAAGCGCCCCATATTTCACATGATACAGTGGCTCTGTTGCACTTCTTGAGACAAACATCCATCTCCGTTTTTTTTTTTTTAAAAACATAGCATCACTCCCACAAGTCTTTCATGCCTACAAATCTCAAAAGCCAACAACCAAACAGTTCGACATTTTGGGAAATACTCAAATGTCCCATTTGTCAAAAACTGCTCCTTTACATGCTTCGTTCAAGACATGCACTTCTCAAAAAATCCCCTTCTCTTGACTAAAACCACCTGACTCATCCATCCTTACTTCCTATTTCCACCTGAAAACGAATCCTTACTTTCAACTTCCCAATTTGCTGCAGTCCAACATTTATTAGTCATTATAATGTAACTGCAACAGCATCTTGTTCTAAATTACACCAGAATCGCTCAAAACCACTCGCCTCCCACCAGAATCCTTCTTAAAATACATGTGAGCACATTATTTACATACAAATATAAAGTATACGTCCAACACATAAATAATAATTATTTTTTATCATAGGCCTATGAAAATAATGTTAGGAAAAGAAAACAAAGTGAGCAGAGAGTGAGCAGCATGCCCTGAGATGAAAACACTAGGAACAAATCACCTAACCCAGGACGAGAGGAGCTTGTAATGCCGACGCTGTGTAAGCAGAAGGAATGGCTTTGGTGAGGGATTCAAAGACAATGAATCTGTCAAGGACACACAATCATACAAACCTTCATAAATAGCTCCTGTTGTGCTTATCAATTCTGAACTTGTGCTAATGAAGCTAAGTGCTGAAATGTTTCTCTCCTGCCTTGCTGAGGAAATCATCTGAGTAAGTTCAGGCGTGGCATGTGAATGACTCGTGAGTTTTATATAGAGTCAGAACAACTTTATGTTAAGTTACTGAGGGAGGATAAAGAGGGATTCCATCAGTACCATGATTTTTTTCTACCAGAATAACCTGAAAACAAGATTAAGACTAAACGTGCAGGTTTCCAGGTTTTGTTGAAGGGGGCCACATTATGGTTCCAGTTATTAAATTGAGTTTTGTCTGAAGCCCTGAGCTAATTTGAACCCTTCATCTGAAGCAGACATGGAGAACATGACAGTTTGACATCAGGGGACAAGGCAAAAAAAATTGGAATGTAGTATACTTGTGTGTGATCGTGTCCTTCTGCTGGTTGTTATTCAAGTGATAGTGCTGCGGGGAAGGGAGTGACATGGACAGCAGTGTGTCCTCTCAAAAAACAGTGGCCAATGTGAGACGCAACATACAAAGCCAAGCCAAAACCTGATTTCCCATGATGCTGCTGTCCTTCGGCCCCCAGCTCTCATCCCACATGCCAATAAGGACACGATCACACTTCCTGCCTGCGGAGGTTCTTCTCTCCACATCACACAAACAGTAGCTGTAACAAGAACACTTCACATCCCACCTTAAGGCAGAGTGCAGTTGGTTAATAAAACTATACAAGAGAAGTATTGCATAGATTTCCCTGGAGTGACTGGCCTTCATCAGTACAGGGACAGATAAACAGAGCTGGCTCATGCAGCCCTTGGAAATATCAAAGATCTGAACAATGAAAATAATTAAATACTTTAGGTTAAACACACTGCATTAATAGACATGCACATTTTCACTTTTAACAGCATCAGTGACAGATCTCAAAATATAGCTGGTTATCTTTGGTTTGAGTGGTTGATCTTGGAATTTTGCAAATTAGTGAGATATGAACACAACCTAAGTACTTTTGAGTGGCGGGCAGCATATGGCTGCTTGTTTTGGGGGGGGTTTAAAAGAATTAAAAAACTCAGAGGAAGAGGTGGGCACCCCCACCTTTGATTCCTCCCCGTTTTACTTTTTCAAAAGTCACCATCCCCAGGGGCAGATGTTTCCTCGTCAAAGCGAAACCTCTTTGAGTGCGAGTGTGGGGACTCCAGGAAGTTCTCCTTGTCTTCAGGGTCTTCCGGCGGCGCTGCCCACTTGGTGCCACAGCTCCTCTCACGGGTGGTGCGGGTGATGGTGGTGGGGTCAGGGCTCAGACACAGCTGCTGCTGCCACAGCCACGGGTGGCTCATACACTCTGCAGCACTGGGCCGGTCCCTGTGGTCAAAGCACAACGTAACACACTTAGAAAGCACCACTGTAATGGTCAGAGTTCAGTCAATCTAGGCCTAAAGACAATCATCGTCATTAATATTCTGGGTTTCTGCTCATTTGATCTGTTGATTAATAATTATATTATTGTTGCTTATAACTAACAAAAAGGATCTCATTATATTTGTGCATAAAATTAATTTCTTTGGTGTAAAAATAAAAATCAGAGCTTTATTGGCACTGGGATGTGCAAGCTGCACTGGTGTGTGAATCCTTTACACTTTGCATGTTGGCCAGAAATGTCATCACTTCCGCCGGCGCCTAACGTCGTTTAGACTAGTCGTTCACCTCCCAAGTGTGGCTGGAGCAACATGCAGGAGAAAAGAGTCTGCGAAAAGGTCCCTGTTTACAGACATCTACATTACCCCTCATTACTGAGGGAGCGTAGAGGTTGCCGGATGGTAAACACTTTGTATAGACTGTTGGTAAAGACTGGGCATTTTGAGGAAAAACCTCCACAACCAGTTTGTCAGGGCAAGACTCCTCCTGGTGGAAACAAGCCAGGGCCACAACCGTTTAGTTTGTTTCTTCTTTCCCTTTTTCTATCAGTGTGGTGGCATTTTTCTCCGCAGCAACACCTAGCATTTAGGATAAGACTGGACCGAATTGCTGCCCCTCAAGCGCGAGTTTGAAAAGGAAAGGTGTCGTGTCAACATCCCAGTGTGCACAGAGTGTACTATGACGAATCCGTCAAGCCTATCAGCAGTTTGAGGCGCTAACACTGTTACCATGTTTACTCACTCTGGTGCTTTGACCAGCAGCTTGCGGATGAAGTCCACAGCCAGCTCAGACACCCTGGAAAAGGCCTCCGTGCTGTAGTCCACGTTCACCTGGGACACGTTCAGATACGTCTCCTGCTTGTCATCCCCGACAAACGGTGACTCGCCTGTCACCAGCATGTAAGCTATAACGCCCACACTCCTGCGGAAAGAAAGGACATGGAGGATGAAGGACACAGTGAAAACAAAGACTGGAGCACATGTGGCATGAAGGCATACAAGACAGACGATAATATCAATCTTCATGAACAAAAGGAAAATAAAAATATCCTATTACAGAGCCTGTGGTTTGTGGATTTACACTGAAATAGATCACCGCAATCAAAACAAATTTGAACAAATCATTTGGTTTGAAAAACAGAGTCAAACTGTGTGTAGCAGTATCACAAGACATGAAATTGCAGTTTCTTTCAAATCAGCACAATGTATTATGAAGAGCTGGTGAAGATTTTCCAGTCAGCACTCACCACAGGTCAGTCGCTGTTGTGATTGGTTCATAATTCAGGATCTCTGGAGCTGCAGGAAAGAAACAGTCAGCCATTTTACCAGCGTAAGGCCCAAAGTCTCACAGAAAAGCAAAGATATCTAAACTAAACAACTGAGCAAATCAAATTTGGATATCTGTATAGTTAATTCATATAGTTTTTTTTTTCCTCTCTTTTGATACTGCATTGTCAAATAGATTTTCCAATTTCAAGCAGGCCAAAAATGAAAATTTACTCACTATCTACTCACCACTATACCGATGGAGGGGTGCTGCAGTTCTTGTGATAACTTGTGCGAATCGTTAGAACTTGCAAGTATTGCGAGAACTCGCTATAGCTGCAGTTACTGCAGCACTAACTTGGAGGAGGATAACAGCGAACATTTAGAGTAAAAACATGGTGTAACTGATCATTAACCATTTAGAGTCAAATTTAAATGTCGGGGCGTACAGACACTTGGATGCCAACACAGGATGGAGGCATTTTATGTTTTTTTCTCATTGTTTTTTAACATTTGTGTGTGGTCACCATTTATTTCAACTGTATTAGATTTGGCTGCAACGCTGTTTAACCCCAGAAACTCCATAGGCATTTTGTGGACCCTTCCATGAAACATGTTGTCTTCTTTACAACAGATTCTTGAGGCCAGTGTGAATGGATTAAATCCAGTATTTCTTGTATGGCAGTAGGACTGTATTTACAGAGAATTCATCTCAGTGCACATGTAATGGAATGCTAATGCAAAGCAAATTAGTTCTATATAACCTTTTCTATCTAATATCTCTTTTCCACAGTGTTACTAACTTTTCTGTGGTTTACGTTGGCAGATGTCTGATCATGCCTGGTGTCTTTGAGTAATCAAAGCCTGTATTATGTACAATCACCTTACCCACATATTCAGGTGTGCCAAGAATCTCTCTGAGCTCTCCAACCGCACCCAATCTACGTGCCAGGCCAAAGTCTACAATCTTTATATCTCCTAGAGGTGACAGGCTGGTCAGGAGAATATTCTGTGGCTGAGGTGGAAAAAAACAAAGAGGAAACACATGCTGTGAAAGCAGAAGTGGTGTTAAGATAAGAGGTACTTTTAACTTGGGAACCAAACTTATAAGTCTAAGAGGTGTTTAGTTTTCTGTAAGTATTTCTAACAGGGCTGTTTGTTTAAGTCTAGAAAATGTATTGACCATATGTCACTGTGAACACATGATTAATAAATGTTGGCTTCATTCTCTACAAAAGAATGTGAATGAGGTTGTTGAAAGAAAACTCTTCCCTTTAGAGGACATTTGCATAAATATATATATATATATACTGTGCATGTGCATGCAAACCTTGAGGTCTAAGTGCACCAGGTTGCTCTGGTGGAGGTAGTGGACTCCCTCCAGTGTTTGCCTGATCAGTCTGATTATCTGTGCCTCTGCCAGCAGCTCCTCAGACACACAGTGATCAAATATCTCTCCACCTGCAGCACTGACCAAAGAGAAAACACAAATATGCTGTAAATACACAAACACACTAATATCCGAGTAAATTAAATCCCTAGGCAATTTTGTTGCATCTGATGTAGTTTTGATGTGGTGGTGAAAAGAAGCATAATAAACTGTATTCATGGCCTGGTGGTTTAACCTGTAGTCAGAGAGTCATCTGGTTAAGTCTTGTTGAGCAAACCTGTTCTTGTTATTCACTGTAATGCACTGTGGATAATCATGTCACCCAAACACACAGAGAAAGACTAGTCCATCTGACGTTTCTACACTAGTTCAGTCCCCGTTCTAAACATGTTTGGAATGGGCTGCTTGCTTGCCTGACTTTATTACATTTCAACTTATTCAGGCCTCAGTTGGTATTTCTCCTTGTCCAGACTTTCTTAAAGTTGTTCACACTGACTTTGCTCTGAGGAAGTGATACATAAAGGCGTGGTAACAAAATCACTTTACCTTCTTGGTCTTACATATAGTTTCTGTTTTGATGATACAAGAGGCTAGATGAATGATATGCCAGACAAGGAAGAACAAATGTTCAGTCCAGTGATCTTTATCCAGAGTTTCAGACCTATTATACTGCATACATGTGCTAATAAACCTGTGCTATATAATACCCGTTTGGTATTATATAAAAGGCAGATTATGTAGTAGCTCCTTGACACAGGACAAACAGAACTTTGACCTTAAAAAGGCATTTACAGGACTGTGCTATGCGTCAGAGCAACTGAGCCAGTGTTAACAGTGTTAGGTGGAAAAGACTAATTAAATGTGATGTGTCATATGGTCAAACAAAAAGATATGATAAATGTTTCCGCTTCATATGGACTTACTATTCCAGCACTAAGACGATGTCGTGATCCGTCTCATAGGCAGCGTGCAGGTTGACCACTCGGGCATTGTTACGGGCCATCTCCAGGACGGCCATCTCATGAATGACATCAGCCCGGCAGTCGCGGCCTCTCCTCCTTTTCCGTAGGAACTTAGCAGCAAACACTTTGCCTGAGGCCTTCTCCACACAGCGCTTGACCACTGCAAACTTCCCCCTGAGAGAGTGGACATATGATTAATGAAGACCCATATTAGACACAAAGAACAGTTTCATTAGATTGTTTTAAAAGTACTAGTGCAGTGCCATTCCGTTTGGATTGGGCTGTTTGCTTTCCACTTCAGAGTTAGTCCTTGTCATTAGTGAGTCCTCCTCAAACAGTTCTACAATATACTGTCACTTTTTACTTGTTTGTGTGCTCGATGTTGTGTGCAGAGCTTTTTATAAACAGTCTACAGTGCAGAGTGAAGTTACATTCATCATTGCTGTTCACATGTAGCTTGTATCTAAGTTTGAATGATTAAACTGATTTTTTTTTCATACATTGTATGTTGGCTATTTCAGAGGTCTGTTAAGCAATCAACACTATCTTTCAAAATAAAACCTCTGTAATTCAGCTCGATATAAAGCATTACAGCAATTGTAGTCATTTTATGAATGTTGTTGCAATGACAGAGATCATATCATGTGCTATGTTTCTGTGTCTCAGTTAGATGAAAAAAATAATCATATCAAAATGGCAGCGATTATTTGCCCCAGTTGCAGACTGCTGCTCCAAGGACATAGAAGAAGACATGTTCAACTCAGTCCACAGACTGAAGGCACACTGCCCCCATTGACTGCTGTTTGACTGTTTATTCCACTTTTCTTAATATTGAACATATCACTTGTCCAAAACGCACCAGAATGATACTAATAGAGGAAAACACATGCCATGTGTGAAGTCAACATGTGAGCAGCCTGGTGTTGACACTGAAACCATGTCAAGATAATCAGGGTAATTGCTCATGAGACTGGGCAGAGACAAGTAGCTACTGGCTGCTACATTAAACCATCATGATTCATCCATGCTGATGAACCTGAAAAGCAACAATTCAACTATACAGAATTATCAACAGCACTCCGCATGATGTTATTGACGCAGAAGTTAGCTAACGCACCTACGAGTGTGGGACAATTTGATTTGTCATCACTACACCTAGCATTCTATTGGTTGGTATTTTTTTGACAGCGTTGCAGCACAAAAAGATTCAAAAGCAAACAGAAAATTCCAAGAGCAGGATGAGAACTCCAAGATCAGACATTTCAAATGTGCACAGAAGCAGCATGAGAGCTTGGAGAGGAGTTGCAGCTAGAATGTAGGAAATCTGTTAGAGCAACAAAATATCTGAGTGCAAGTGCACAGTGTGAGCACAATCTGATCGCGAGGTTTTGAGTAAAAGCATTATAAAATCTAAACATGAAATCAATGTCCTTATCTCAATTGAAAAGACAAAGCTCTTAAATAAAGAAAGGGATAAAAGCATAAGGCACAAGGCCAACAAAAGAAAAACAAAACTCATCTAAAAATAACAACTTAGCACCAATAGCAATGACTGTGAAGGTTATAGACCCAGAAGGACTTTCCTTACACAATAGAACAATGGCACTAAACTAACCTACTCCTGTGTCACCATCTATCACTGTTACTAATCGTGTATTCATGCAGTTCTGGCATTTGATGCAAAAAATAGTTTGGGTGCATTTTTAAAGCTGAGCAGGAGGTTGGGGGCACTGGGGAGACCTCTGTCATGTGTTGTCATCATTCTATTAATGATACAGTTACTGAAAGAGTGATCCAGAAATCTACTTTTGTTTTCCAGAGAAGTTGGTTAACTTGTGTAAGACAGACAAAATAGTTACAGTGAGAAAATTAAGAAGCAGAGGCCAGCGATACCTCGTCTCTCAAATGAGCCAAACTCCAAAACTGCTGGACCACATAATGCAACTTGAAAATTGTTTATTTCATGCCTCCTTCTGAAAATGAATGTGTTCTATTAAAAATGTATAGTCTCCAGACACTGTTAGGAGTGAAAACATAGCCTCCTAGGTGAGGGTAACAACTAACACATTGTTGACAGTAAATAAAGTTGAGAGATACTGTCGGACAAAGAAATAAGGAAATGCCGTGAGACAGAAATGATACTGTTAAAGGGCAGCATCTATTTATCTGAAATTATCTTTTACCAGACCTGTGAATTTCTCATATGTTAAGAAGTCAGATGTAGAACTAGAACATTTTAAGCCGAACAATTAACAAACTTCCTGTTTTGATACCAACACACATACACACAGTGAACAGAAGTGGCATGTGTCATTTCTCCTTTTCTAAAGTCTGGTTTGCACATGTGCTCGTTTCCTTCCTCCGGTCATGAAAGCAGAGTTGTACGGTATTTTTGGTGTGTGTGTGATACATTACTTCAAACACACCACTGATGTGATCATGTTTGTGGTCATCGACCATCAGCTGTTGCCATGGCTCACACATGGTGCCAAACACACGACAAAGGTCTACTGTAGCACGATCAAGTCGGTCCCCTGGCACCGCGAGGCCCTCGTGTTTACGCTGCTAACAAGTCTTACAGTCCAGAATCCGCACGCAGCTAAAATGAATACAGTGATTTGCTTGATCTTTACTAAGCCTTCGAGCAAACAGAAATTACAGACAACACAAACTAGAGTATATATTGCTATAAATTATTAGTTGATGGACACAGTTTCCTTGATGAAGAAGTTGTTTAAGTTGCTGTAAATGTTTTCTATTGTCCATATGTGAAAATGATTCAGTTTTAACTCTCATGTCATCTAAATCTATAAAGTGATTCAATACTGTCTGTATCTTTAGTCTTGACCCTCATTAATTAGCATGTAAATGCTACATCGCACATTTTCTTCACATTCAGTCAAACAGTGAAATCCTGGGCTTGTTAAGGCAAGACGCATTTGTTACGACATCATCTGCTTGCTTTTGTGTTATTGAACAGCACTGTTGTACCACCAGTGAATTAGGGAATGATTAGTTCCATGGTTGCTAACAATCAGGAAATGAAGTTTGTTTTCATCACGGCTGATTGTAAAGAAAGCCCAGAACAAAGTCTGAGGTGACATCTTCAAATTGATCGCTTTGAACGATCAACAATCCGAATATAAAATGATAAATCTCACTTTACAGAGAAAATTCCTCTTTTTTGTGAAACTGGAATAAACATCGTCTTATTGTAGCTTTATTTGACTGGCTAATGGAAACACTATCTATCTGTATATGTATTCAGTTTATGACATTCGACTGTTTAAACTGCAAATGGAAGTGTATGACAGACTTGGACTGTTCTTGATCCACTGATGAGACTTTTCCAAAGACTGTCATCGACTGTCAGCGACGACTCGGTAATGAAATCCAGCCCCAAAGTGGAACCATTATTAAAAGTAGTAGTATATTAACAACCTGAGTTAATATCACATACTCTTAATTCCTGTAAGTAGAATTGATACCATGAGAGTGCATGGGTGAAGAAGCTCTCGGCTTCGTGCAGGTTGTGCCTCTGACCCTGTGTGTGCAGGAGTAGTCAGACATGTTTCCCTCACCTCCCCAGCTCTCCGGTCACTTCGTACACACTCTCCAGGGGCTCCGCGCTGATCGGGGTCTGAGTTTCCCCGAGCAGACCTGCGGAGAGTCCGCTGCGACTGTCCAGTCTCCTCCGAGACATCTTCCCTCTCCTGTCACCCCTGCCGCCGGCTAACGGACTGAACACCGGGCTACGCGCTAAGCTAACGAGAGGTGGACGGTGAAACTAAGCTAAACGGGCTAGCGAGCAGCAGCTACATCAATTACATGTTAATGTTAGCTCAACCCGGTGACCGTGCTATTGTTCAGATCAGATTACCGACTGCGGTTAGCTCAACTGCGGCTAACGGAGTTAGCTCTACGGTGAATGTCGCGGGTTTAAAAGTGAGCGAGAGAGACTTTCCCGAGCTGAGGAGCAGCGGGGACTGAGTCAAAGCTCCGGCTAGGACCGAGAGTTGTTGCTAAACCCTCCACAGCGTCGCTACGAGCCTCCGCAGCCCAGGAGAGAAGTTGATCCCCGGAGTCCTCGCTCGTTCTCTCATCCTCCGTTTGACACTCGCTGGACACGTCACGCCCTGGCGCATGCGCACCGTCGCCACGTTTGAAAAAAAAGCCGTAATGTTGAAAGTGAGTCGCACTCGGCGGCGGAGGCAGGCGCGCGACCTGCTCACTGACCGTCGGACCACAGACGGCGCAAGAAACACGAGTCAGTCACGCAAGCGACAGACGTTCATAGATCAAACCGAAGCTTTGGCTTTAAGATGGCCCAAAAAAGTCACAGGTCAAAAGTCTAACTTTCGAATCCATTATGGATACATAATAATAATAACAACAGCAATCATAATGGATTTCAGGAGATAATCGAGAAAATGTGTCAGAGCTCTGAGTAACGCTGATGTGTTAAATGAAAACTTGACTGCCATAAATATCTAAAGTATAAGTTTCAAGTATATTAGGGAGCAGACATTTGTATTGTTTTGTTTTCTAATCATAAAACACTAATGTTATACTTGAAATCGTTTATTTTGCTATGCAATCTAAAAATGTTGATTTTAAAGTATGAATAATTGATTGAATTTTATAGAAGTTAATAAATTATATAAACGTGTACTATGCTTGCATGTGTATGTATTCATATCTCAAATACTGGAAATAAGTCCAACCTCTGCGATAATGCATCAAATTTGTGATCCAAAAGTCTAAATTATCCATATATAAATTGTTCAACATTTCCAACACAATAAACCATTAACATTTAATACTCTTCTCACATTTTAAATGTAGTTAACATTTCCTAGTATGTCATAATTATCTCTTAGTCGTTTGGCCTTGCCATACTAATTGTTAATTTTCCATTTCTAACATTTCATCTTTTCCTGAACCTTCACATAATCCATTCTGCTGTGCACATGTTAACATTAAAACTAAATTAACATTTGGTGATGCATCTGGAGAAGCTATTATATTATATTTATTATATTTGACTGAATCAGGTTAGAGCCCTGGGTTTGGGAGTGGGTTGTTTAGTTCAGAAGAAGTAGTTATTGCTTGATGATAAAAATGGTTTCCTTATAAACTTTGTTTTATAATATACTTTAGAGATAACACATTTTGTTGTTAACACATTAATTCGATAGAAAATACTCATAATCTATGAATCAGGGTCATGTATCATTAATCAAAATTTGCCATTTGTTCTCTTTTATTACAATCATTGGGGTGAAATGGAGACACACACACAGGAGCTTTGCATAGAGTGGAAATCAGAAAAGTGGAGCCAGGTCCTGTCAGAAATGTACTAAGAAAGAAGAGCAGTGTGACTGTGAAGCAAGTTACCAGTTGGACCAGTCTTTTGCAGCAGAATAGCATCATTATGGAAAACGTCAAACTGACCAAGTAATGTGAAGCATTTTTGCCCATGCCGGAAATCTGCGTCTCAAGCAAACATGTAGTGACGTTCTGTCAGGATTTTTCAGGATTTGTCAGGAGCCAGGAGCAGGATGTGTGTGTGAGACAGTGAAATAGAGAGCAGGTCTAATGGTTGACTTTGAAAGTCCCAAACCTTTGGTACATTCGGTGCAAAATATATATATTTATACACACAACAGGACAGACATACATATACAGTTATATACAAAGAGACAAACAGGACCGCACACATGGTACACGTACATGTGCTCTCACATTTCACAAAATCAAAACAGCCCCACCGATTCATCACTGATTCATGAGCGATGAAACATATCGACCTATTACTAAGATAGGCAGACGTGCACATATGAAAGTAACAACATTTTTAAAACATGCTGCCAAGATACTCGCCACCACACTGTCATAGAGAAAACAAACGATTGCAGTCACACATTGTCAATTATCAGAGCTAAAACTAAGTGACTGAAGCACCGAATTCCCACACCTTGTTCCCATGAGCTTCACACTCAAGGTATGACAGTGGCAGGTAAGCATAAGGCCGCATGCTTAAAGTAAGCGCCACAACCAAAGTGACACAACTTAACCAACTCCCTCACCCCTTTTTCTGAATGGGTAGCAATATCCTCATGCAAAAAAGCTAGTAAGGACAGTGTGTTGTACTATTTCAGCATGCAATATCGAGCTATAACACAACGCCATCTAGGGGTTTCTGCCCTGGCTCGGCTCACAGAGCTGACCAAGAAGATCCCGCATGCAGTATTGGGCTGGGAGAGCGGGGCTGGGATACAAAAGTCTGCCTCCACAACTCGCATCACATGTGGGGCTCATCTCCATGATTCCAGCCCCTGTGGTTGAGCTCCAACAGGACTTTTTACAGTAGGTGTAATCTTGCATGCACCCCATAGAAAATGTGTGTGTGTTACTGTGTGCGTGTAGGAAAGTGTGTGAGAGAAGTGAAAGGGTCCCTTGGGGGATGGTAGTGCACTTACAGAAATGTTGTATCACTGGCTTTAAAGACAAAGCTATTGTCTGTCATGACAAAACTTCTAAAATACAATATCCACACAGCCCTAAAAGGTCAGTGGCTTTTCCTGACAACTACATCCTCACACTTCTGGTCATTCAGCACAGATAAATCACTGCTTCTTTGTTTTAATACCTTACTGCCCCCTTGTGTTGATATCTGTAAAAGGAACTTAACCTGCAGCTCCTACAGTTTCATCGTCTTTGATTCGTGACACACGTGGATCTGGTCAAACATAAAATAGCTTCCCTTTAGAAAAACCCAAGAGGTACTAAAAAAAATCCCACCACTGCACCCTGAACAGAAACCTTGGTTGACACCAGGTTTGTGTCTTTCAGCTAACAAGGCCTAATCCGGTGCCAACATCGGGTCAAGCGCCCCCTCATTCCTCAAGCAACTGCGTCATATTTCATTTCCTTTCACTTCACTTCCAACTTTGTGTTTCCTCTCCAGCCTGTGTGAGTTTTCCCTTCCTCAGGGTCCAACCACAGTTGCTTGAGGTTCATACATTCAGTCACTGGTTTGGTACATTCATCACTTTCACTGGGCGGGAGGCGATTGCATCAGTGAGCAGGACCTTGTGTGTCACACTCATGAGCAGGTGTCATCTGTCTGTGTGGGAGAGAAAGTGCATTGGCCGCTCATGAGAAATGTGTGGAAGAGTTTGAAAGACAGGAACCCTGCATGTCTATATGACTGGAGTGTGTCAGTACATGTATCTGGAGTGAGTGCATCTGTTACACTGTAAGAAAATACACTAGAAGGTGCAAGGCTAATGCTGTAGTATTATATGTGTGTGTGATACTGGGTGTCCTTGTTGAGTGTTTCCGGAAACAAAGCTGTGTCTGATGTGTCTTAACCTCTCATGCTCAGATAAGAGCTCTGATCTTAGAGCAGTGAAGGTAACAGTCCTGACACTGTCCATACATATTTTACTGATGCTTATGAAATAACCAAACTGTGACATGTACTGTCAGTCTCTGTTTAGTCAACTGATTTGTATTTGTTTATTTGCTTGTGTGTGTGTGTGTGTATGTGTGTGTTTGTGCACACCAGTGTATCTCCTGCTCCATTGAATACCCATTTAAAAGTCAAGAAGGTCATATTTCCATGCTGATAAAAAATCTTGGGAGAAACACTGGTTTGCACTTCAATAACAAAATGTCCCATGTTTGTTTGTGGGTGTGAGTGTATATATATATATATGTGTGTGTGTGTGTGTGTGTGTGTGTGTGTGTGAGTGTATAAGTGTGTTATAGGTGTTATAGTTTATAACACTGCAGCCTCAGTGCAGGAAGGACACAGTTTAGAGGTCCAGGGAGGGAGGAGGGAGTTTTGTAGTTTTCGAGCAGCTGTCTCTGAGCTGCAGGTTGGAGAAAGAGAAGGAGGAGGAGGAGGAGGAGGAGGAGGAGGGGAGGTGCTAAAAAAATCCAGTAACCAAGGCCATTAACTGAAGAGATAAAGCACACATGTGGCTTAATGAACAAAGGTTACCATGACAACAAGAAACTGCAATATACGGCTTTTCGCTCTATTTTTCCAATTCTCCGTCTTTCTTCCAGAGGGTGTTCAAGTGATGGATCGCTGTCAAAAATGTAAGAGAGAGGCGGAGAATTGGAATGAATCCTGTGTACTGAGTGAAGAAAAACCAGTTGTAAAAAAACTGCAGCGTTATCCATGGGTGGGTAGTTGCCATTTGAGGATATTAGTTTTATTTTCCATGTCCTTCCAGAGATGTCCAGGGGCTTCTCTGCCTTAAGCTGTTTTGAGGTCACTCCAAACCGAAAGTGCTCGTTTCCTCTACAGCCGTGACCAGCTTCTCGTAGAGCATGGAGAAGGAGGAGTAAGGTGGGAGGTCCAAACGATTAAAGCAAGTGTGAGCCCTGTGCACATAAACACAACACACAACAAATAAATAAATGTGAAATTGAATCATTATTCGACTACAGCAAATTATACAAAGAACATGTAAATATGAAACTTAATGGCAGAAATGACAGAAATTAGTTTTAATTCATTCACATCTTTGACACATCCACTGATTTAAACAAGTCAGACCAAAGTAGCAGATCTTTGGGTGCTGGACAGTTTGAGAGCCATGGCATTTCCTAAACAGCCAAAGAATCCCAATACCAAAAAAAAAAAAAAAATCCGTATGAGATCAGATGATTATTAGGAGATGCCAGACATGATGACTGGTAAAGAGTCACTTATACAAAACAAAAGGTTGTGTGTAACATTAGTCATGCCAACAATCGTCCTACCTGGGTAAGGAAGTGATTTTTCCCCACTTCTCGACACAGAATCTGCGAGGTCCATTACTCCCCCGTAGGGAGGCAAAACCCTCGTAAGGAATACTGGAAGTGCCTGTCACAAACTAGAGACATGGAAGAAACAAAAGTCAGATGAAGTATGAAAACAGCAGCCTGACACATTCACATTATTCATGACTTAAAACTGATATGAATGAATCGTTTTAGTTCTATATATTCATCTGAATTCTTACAAGTCATTTTACTGAAAATTTGAAAATGGAGCATAAGTCACACTAACATCTTGAATCATTTCTCAAGCAGGTTATCAAGGTAGAAGCCCGGCCGTTGTGATATGAAGGTTTCACAGTGAGTGGTGTGTGGTGAACGCATCTCTGCAGTGTCTGCAGGGGATCTGGCCTCCACACGGGGGCAGTCTGTGTACATGCGCTCACCCACGTGCCCTACCTGCAGCAGCCTGAGCCTCTGCTCATTGTTGAATCTCTCCACAGCCGCCCAGAACCAGCGAATCACTATGTGGTTGTCATGGTAACCTGGGGGGAGGTAAATGATGATGGTGCATGAGTCAGATGAATAACAAATAAGATCTCCGTCCCTTGTTCCTCTCCTCTCTCACTATTTCTCGGCTTTGCTGTTTGAATGGGCCCTGCTGTTTAATCTTTAATGGGCTGGGCTGTTTGGTCCGTCTCAGTCGATTCCTCTATTAAAAGAGCCTCACACTGAGTCATGGCCGACTGTCAGCTTGAGTTCTCGTCCCGCTGCTGGCGGCTTTTCAAATGTATTGGCCAAACCTTTAAAAAGCCCTTTAATGTGATCTCTTGTAAATGCCTCGGACACTGGCGCTTGCATCTGAGCACTGTGCACGACATGTCGAACAATAGTTAAATTGCAAACAAAGGTTCAGGTGCTCATTCTACAGTGCATCACAGCAGAGCCTAATGAGGTGGTTTAATATTATAATGAAATTATCTATCGAAATCAAGAATTATGATTTGCTCTCAATGATACAAAAAACAATTTAGTAGTTTATTGCAGGAGTAAGTTAACCGTGAATTTCAGTGGCACTTTGGCTGAGGATGACCGTGGATCAGATGGTTAACTGCAACTGTTGTAATGACTAGTGTTATTTTTTGGATGTAGTGTTAACCTCTGCGTAATACAGGTTCAGTTGTCACATTTGCAGATTCAAGCTGCAAATGAATTCACAGCAAGATCCATGGTATGTTAGTGATTTCAATAGTTTTCCCCGGTTGTTGTCAGCGCACCACAAACACACTGATCTTCAGATTCACATACCTCCTCTATACTCTGTGTTGATCCTCCAGTCCGCCAGGTCGATCTCTGCAGTGCCTGCGATCACCAGCTCCAGCTCCCTGGCATCAAACACTGACACCAGTCGCACATCAACCACCTAACAAACACACACACACGCACACACACACACGTGCATGTTGATGAGCACATGGATAAACAGAAAGAGCAAGTTCATCATTTATCACAGTCCTCCCACATGTGCCAGCTCGAAGACAACAGTCAAAGAAGATCTGTGGAGACACACAGCGAGACAGCCGGCAGGGGGACAATCATTGCTAGTGAAAAGTTTCCATCAGTTTGTTGACAGTAAATTAGATTTGTTGAGTAAACCAGAGCCTACAAAGTAACACAGGCACAAACATATAGCCCACAAAGATCCAGTAATCTGTCAACACAAGGGATACTGGAGTTTGTTCAACAATCTAAACATCAGTCCACATTACAGTCCACACTTGGTTCACTCTGTCATGCTGGGCTTTCACAGCATGTCCGACCGCGGGGCTATCAGATCTCAAAATCTATTCTCCTACACTTGTAAATTATTATGCCACCTCTCTAGTGCAAATACACACACACACTTCTGTTGTTCAGAGTTTAAACAGGTCTCTGGAGACATGCGCTTACTTTCACATCCAAACTGAGCAGTGCACGAAATCTAAACATTCAGTCTGTTATATAAGAGGGTACCTCTTGACTAGAATCAGAACAGACATGAAACAGATAAGTGAACTATGCCATCTATTTTAATTTATATACTTCATTTCTACCCTCCCACATCTCCCTTGTGAAAAGGAGGTTCATCAATAAAAGTTAGCACGAGGTTACAAGAGTGACCTCAAGTAAAGCTCTTGTGTACAGTTGCCACCTTGAGATGCGTGTGTGTGTGTGTGTGTG